CAAGTTGACTCTGAATATAGCCTTCCAAAAAAATGTGGTTACTCAATGTCACTAGTTACACCCAGACCTGATTACGACCACACCAGTTGAATCAAGAAAATAAAATTGAACCTGATTTCAATATTCTCAAAAAGAAACACATTATGTCATGATCTAAAGAAACAGCTGACAATCAAAGTCACTGACATCTAACAGTCTGGAAAGGGTTAGAAAAAGAACAAAAGAAACCTACACAGCATTTCATAAAAACAACATCACAGCAACAGTCAAACATGGTGGTGGTAGTGTGATGGTCTGGAGTTGCTTTGTTGCCTCAGGACGACTTGCTGTAACTGATGGAACCACAAATTCTGCTCTCTACCAGAAAATCCTGAAGGAGGATGTCCGACCATCAGTTCATGCCCTGAAATCCTCAGTTAAAAACAGATTTGTTGTGACCACAACCCAGCTTCACATATGTAGAATGCAATGAATGGATGGATGGATACAATCTCTGCTGCCTTCTTGGCCAAGTCACTTTTGAAATACAGGTTTTTAATCTCACTGAGGCTTCTATCTGGACTTTTTAAACTCCACTTCTAGTCTAGCTATGAGCACTCTTGGTTGAAAATACCATCAGACTACAGTGCGAGAAAAGAAAGAGTGATATATTTAAGTCAGAAACAGAAGTTGCTTCAGTAGTCTGACTCGTCTGAAAAGTCTCCCTGCTGCGTCCAGTGGAATCCCTTCTTCTTCCTCCTCCTCCTCTTTCTCTCACCCATCAGCATGGCAGCCAGCAGGGTGATGATGACGGTGATGGTTATGATGAGCACAGTGACCGTCTCAGCAATGCACAGCTCATCATCCACGTTTATCAGAAGGTAGCCCTGGAGGTCAGGTGGCGAACTGCATGTCAGGTTGTAGTAGTCATCCAGGAAGAGCCGCTGGATGCTGTGCAGCTTCCGGAAAACTCTCTGCAGGTCACAGTCGCAGTTCCAGGGGTTCCCCTCCAGCAGGAGGTGGGTGCTGTAGGTGTGGATGCTCAGGAAAGTCTTGAAGCAGATGGTGGTCAGCTGGTTCTTGGCAATGTTGAGTAACGTCAAGCTGGCAAGTGGCTTGAAGACACCAGTCTCTACCTCACTGATCTGGTTTCCGGCCAGGTTGAGGACTTCGAGAGAGCGCAGCATGGAGAAAGTGCCACTCCTCAGAGACGTCAGCTGGTTGTCCTGCAGGTGGAGCTGTCGGAGGAGGCTCATTGAGGAGAACGACCTCATCTGAATGGTCTGGATGCTGTTGTTGGTCAGGTTTAATCGCTGGATGCTGTCCAGGTGCCGGAAGGTCCGGCTGCCCAGGGTGGTCAGTCGGTTGTGGGACAGCTGCAGCTCCTGCAGTGAGGCTAGGCCAATGGAGAATCCCTCAGAGAGAGTGGTGATCTGGTTCCAGCTCAGATCCAGCTTCTGGAGGAACTCCAGTTGTGAGAAGGCCCCATCCTCCACCACGCTGATGTTGTTGTTCTGCAGCAGGAGTACCCGTAGTTTGCGAGTGGTGTTGAAGGTGCGTTCGGGGATGATGGAGATCCAGTTGTCAGACAGGTCGAGGCGTTCAGTGTTGGGAGGCACTCGGCTGGGGAGCCGTGTGAAGGAAGCCCTTGAGCATATGGTGAACTTGAGGTCTCCACGACAGTCACAGCCCTTCTCACACCCAGAGCTGTGAGACCTGCAGGATGCCTCCGTCACCAGCAGGAGGAGCAAAACCAGCTTCATGATGGCTCTCTGAAACAACAAGGAAGGATTTTACCACTCAGTGACCTCTTTCAGGACTGTGACATGGATACACAAATCTCATACTGTGCAGGAAATATATATAGATTTAGTGTGAAGATTTGTGATTGCAGTGATTAGAAGAGGAAAAAAATGAAGCATTATGTTTCAACTATGTTTTCAACTTTTTACATTTTGAACAAAGAGTAACCATTTAAACTCTTTTGACTATTTTTCTTTGCAGAATTGGTAGGGTTCATTTAAATTGGTTGGTTTCCAGTCACGGTCCTGGCTTTTATGCATCATCCGCTTTGGCTTAGGCAAGGCCAGTCCAGAAGTTTAATGTGAGGCTGCTTTATCCATACCAAAACCAGTTTTGATGTTTGTTTGGTATCATAGTCATGTTGGAACACCCAACTGTGTCCAAGTTTTAACTGTCAGGCTGTTGATTTGAGGTGAAGTTGAAGAATTTGGAGCTAGTCCTCCTCTATTATATTATTATATTATTCCATGAAATTTGTTCAGCTTACATTGTACCAGTACCACTGATAGCAAAACAACCCCAGAGCATGATGATATCACCACCATGCTTGACAGCTGGTATAGTGTTCCTAGGTTTGAAAGTCTCACCTTTACTCCTCCAAACATACTTGTGGTCAATGTGGCCTACATCAGCGGTCCTCAGCCCCCGGGCCACGGACCGGTACCGGTCGTTTGGTACTGGACCGTGAGAGTTGAGATGTGAAATTTATGGTTTTTAGGGTTTTTATCGTTAACTCGGTTTCCCTGGGTCTTTTCCAGTGTTGTAGTTGTGTGGCTTATTTTAAAAGAAGTTAGGCATTACCATAGCGACCAGAGAGCATTAAGGGGCAGAGAGGAGGAGGTTACTCTCAGTGTTGTCAGCACTGCTAATAAAGTTACACAATTACACAGTGAATTCGTGTTTATTATTAAATGTACAAAATACCACAGTTTTTGTCTTGGTCGTATCATTTTATTTTGTTGTATTTATCCGCAACACCTTAAAGGCCGGTCCGTGAAAATACTGTCTGACATTATACAGGTCCGTGGCACAGTAGAGGTCGGGGACTGTTGGCCTAAATAGCTCAATCTTTGTCTCGTCTGACCATCTGTATATTTCTGTGTTTCTGACGAATCGACATTTTTATAACTGAGAAAAACAACCAAACAAACAGATAGCTGGAGATCTCTACCTATAAATGCTGTTGCCTTCATTTGTTCTTGAATGTACAGTGAGTTAGACCTGAATCTTCTTTGTTTTTATAAAAGTTGTAAATGCTGACTAAAACAACTGTGGGAAAAAATAATCCTTTTTTTTCATCACAGGAGCTCCTAAACTAATCTTGTGACCCTGTGTGGGAGCTCGACTTCAAAGCATAAATCCACTAATCTACAAATGACAGCTTTCAGCAGGACTTCTTTACAGCGCTGAGAATTTAAAATTTTCATAAAGACATATGCAGTACTATCTGTGATGAGATAAATGAGAAATCCAGCCTAAAAGGCTAAGAGAGAGAGCCACTGTACCTTGATGACACTGCAAACTTTTTAAAGGTGAATTTTTAGATTTTCTCATTTAAATTCATTCAAACTCATTTAAATATCCTCCAATCTGATCTATGATCAGAAATGGGTCAGGGAAAATATTCCTTTATTGTAAAAAACAGCAGTCAGATTTAACTAATCATCCATTTACAAAACAGATGTTAAAAAATCTGAGATTTCCCCCCCACATTCAATCACAGCTCTGCCATTCAACCAGGGGTGTTTAAATGAACATCCATTTAAACACCCCTGGGTGTTAAAACCAAATCAGACAACTCTAACAGAAACAACAAAAACCCTTTACTAACTGTCCAAATAGACAGACCACCTTTGCCATAAAGAGGTTGCGCAGGAGTAACAACGATGGGGGAAAGGACATCATGAGGCAACACATGGGGAAAAAACATGAACATTTACAGGCGACAAAGAGGAGGACAGGACTATTTAGGGCTGATTGAGGAATCACTCAGACAAAAGAAGTAAATATAGCACAGGTTCCAAAAAACTCTAACCCTCAAAGTAAAACAGGAACTAGTCAGAGACAAAAAGAGTTGCATCAACTATGAAGACATACACAAGAGGACTGGAGGACAAAGGCATCAAGCGTATGAGACACTAGAAGAAAAAGGTCAACTTTACACGCAGTTAGAACTTCACTAATACAGAAAGTAATGCTCAGTAAAACCTAAACTGAAACGCAGACTCACTTAAAAAAAAAAAGCTGAGTTATGCCCCACTCTCATTAGTCTGCAAAGCCAGATTGGGTCGCGCCTGGGCTACTCTGTCACATTGCGTCAGAGATCATTTAAATAAGAGCTGCTGCAGCTCTACAGAGTTAAAGAGATGCTGTAATTACACATTTTAGAAGGTTTAGTTATACTGAAGCTATTTTTTTGATTATTTAATAATGCATACTGGACATCTGAAGCCTAAGAGGTTTTTATCTTTTAAAATGTTCAGTAGTTTTGATTTAATTAAATTATTAATATATTTTTTCACTTTTGCTTTTTGGTTGCAGTGCTATATATTATTTTGCAATGTTATTTTTCCTAATATTACAACCCTTTTTGTAATTAAAAATATAATGAAAGAAAAAATAAATAACTAAAAAGTTGCTGATTAGTTCTGGTGAAATTTTGCAGTAAAAACACAATTTTTAAGTGAGCTTCTGCCCCTAGTGGGTAAAAAGGCACTGCACGTGGACCTTTGGAAGTAATTAAAAGTTAGTATATTAAAAAAAATCTAGTTTAACAAATCCACTGGATATAACAGGAATCTCTTGGTTTTCTGACATATTTTCACTATTTTCCTGAACTTGTGTTGCAGTATTTGAATGAGAAATAGGTGCAGTGATTCATTTAGTCTTCAGACATGGTTCTCCATTTTGACAAGATGTTCAAGATATCAGCTTTTTCTCCCTGTTTCCCTCCTTAAGCATGGCTTCCTTCCACTAACACCATTTCTGAGGCTTCAGTGAACAGTAGATGAAGGTCCAGGTGCATCTCTCAGGTTGTTTTGTATGTCTCAAGGACAAGACTTTCAGATACTGTAGATAGTTTTCTTTAGACTGAGACTTGTTCTTTTGTTATCCACTTTTGGAGTTTCCTCAAATCTTTTAAGGTCAGACTGCACACCATGCAAGTTTTCAGCTAAAAGCTCTCTGAGAATCACCTTCTGTCAAAATTCAATTAAAGAAATGGGAAAAAATTATGTTTTTAACAAACAAATAAAAAAAAACATTCCTCCAATAACGGTCAGTTACAAGGACTGAAGTAAAAGTGAATGAAAAAACATCCAATGTACAACATAAAACTGTAAAAACTATCAGAGCACTATTGATCAAGACCACTTTAAAAAATGACAACAAAGTCTGGCTGCTTGGAAGCAAAATGCAAAGACATGACAAGCTGTGGCCGTCGGGAGGCTAAAGTGAAGCTGTTGATGGAGAATCACCATAATTAAACTAACTGACAAAAATATTTATCATTAAAAAAAAAAACATGGAAAAATATTTTTCATCTTTACCTGATGTGATGATCAGAGTTGTGATTAAAGGATTTTGGGACTTTTCCAAGAAAGATTTCCAGGAAATAGGCTGCTGACTGTGGCACTGAAAACTATTCAAACATCTGCCTGCAGGTGCAAAACACAGAGTAAAAAAAACAAAAGTCCTTTTGTGCAAACTGTCAGACTTTGTAAAGCCATCAGGGGGCCGGACTGATTCGTCATAATTTAGTAAAAGCTGCAGCGTCTCTGCACTACTCCTCTGAAATGGACAAACGTGAATTCAGACGTCATGTCAAAAGTAGTCTGATAGATTTTAATAACAACAGAATTTGAACATAAATCCTATAGAATAGAGCACCGAGAGGTTTAACAGCATGTTATAATACCAGAGAAGCATCACTGCTCTCCTGTGTCACCAAACTGATTTTGTTGATAAAAACAAAAAAACTAATAATCATCTATTCATTAAAAAAAGGAGTTTATTGATTACAGCTCTGGGAATGAATAAAGTTCATCTGAGTATAGAAAACTGGGTGCAGCGAGAAAGCAAAATCACATACATGACTCGAGCACTCTCACAGTTTTAAAAAAAGGGTCCCCATCAGGGCGACGGCAGTAAAAACATCCTTTAAATGAAACGAATGCTCAGCAGACTCATTCACTATGTCGTCCTCTAATAAAATTATACCTGAACATGAGAAATAAGAAGAATGAGGAGCAGATGCAGCCTGTGAGATAAAAACCTCCAAAAAGTCTGTGTTTGTCTGACCGTAACAGAACGGTTTCATCTTACCAGCAGCTGCTGCTCCTGCCTGCCCCTCCGTCCGTCTGTCTACCTGCTGACAGTCGTCAACATCCAGCCAGCAGCAGGTGGAGAGTGGACGTGATGGAGCAGAGGGAGGGGCGGGTCTTCACGGTCTGGAGAACCCGGCGAGCGACAACACAAAGACAGGGTGATGGAAAGAAACACAGAGAGGGAGGGAGAGGAGGCAGGACTCGTCAATTATTCACCACGCAGCGCTGTTGGTGTGCTGTTGGTGTGTGGTGTGGTGTGGTGTGGGTGAGGAGATGGGAGCTTTAAGAGATTGAAGCCAAACTGGGCCACAGAGCAGAGAATTAGGAGGTCTGGACAGATTTGATTGACCGCAGGCGCCACTGTGTTTATCTCCCCGATGTTCCTGCATGTTTACAGCAGGGTTCGTACACACAGCTGCATTTAAGTGTGGAAAAAAATTGGATCACCAAAGAAAAAATGGAAAAAATATGTCTTCAGTTGTAGTATTTATCATTATAACCACCCTGAGGAGGCGTCGGTGCATCCACATACTGACCATATACCAAATGAAAAGAAAACAACTGAAAACAAACCGAAAAGCAAAAAACTCAAAACTAAATCAAAATATAACAAATCTGTTTTCGAGATTTCGAGATCAGATGTT